AAGCTCCCAAGTGCGGGGCATTTCCATAGACTTGTTATTTTCTCTTTTTAATGACCGCGTTGCCAAAGTTTGGGAAATACAATCAGCATTCCCTAAACACCATCACTTCCATAGCCACCTGCTGATGGACAGCAGCCTGCCCTGGACGGGCTGCGGGGATGGTGTGAAGGCCACTGTTGCCCAGGTTTGAAGGACTCTGGCCATGATCCCCGGCCCGTGGACAGAAAGCCCAGAGCCAACGGGAACTCCAGCCAGCTGCAGGCAGATGTTACTCCGTCCCCATGCCGGGGGTGGGGACGAAGGTGCCCTTCCCCGTCCGGCAGCAGAAATTATCCCCTGTGCAGAGTCCGCCCTGATCCTCGGCCTCGCTGGAGCCAATTCCCCTGTCCCCTGAGGCACAGGATGATCATACATTGGTCTCTCCGTTATTTCTCAGGCACTCACACACCCAGGTCCTGCCTCTTTTTGACACCCCCCAGGGGGCTGCATTTTGCCAATGGGATTTTCCCACTTTTCAGCAGACCAGGGATCATTTTCCAAGGTCCCCAGGACATTTCTGGAGCTGACCTGTTACCGAGCACAGAGCACAGGACAAGGGAAGAACAAAGTTTTTAGCCCCTACCACACAACATTTTCTTTTCCCGTAGCAACTCGCTCCAACTCTTCCCATCTCGGAAGGTTCCTTGACTTTGGACAGCCTCCAAGGGTTCTGGGAGGAGATTTCACACCCACAAATCAAGATCCCAGACCCAGAGGGCTGTCCATGGAGGTGGAGGAGTGTTGGCTGCTCCAGTGAATTTCCTCCATGTGCCAACATAAAAATAATGGCATCGCTTTCCAATCCTCTTGGGCTGGTACTGTCTCAATGGAAAACTCCTTTTCCGTGTCCAGATGCAGGAGATTGTCCTGGTCAGGCTGCGGGACCTTAAACTGCACGTTTGTCTGGGGGCTGTGACTGGGATTCCAGCAGGGAATGAGCCTCCTGTGTGTGGGACTGGGCAGGTTTTCCCTCAGGGAGGCTCCCACTTTACTCCTTGGCACATTTTCTCTGGAATATGAAATGAAGATAATTATCAAATACCCACGGGGAAGCAAATTACTGTTTCTTGTTCACCAGCTACGAACAAAACTCTTCCAGAAACCAGCACTGGAAAGGCTGGAAATTGCTGCTTCACCCTACGGTGTCAGAAAAAGAGAGAAAACACAAAATGTGCATCCCAAAATAACGATAAAATGATTCCTCCTGCTTTTAGTGTGACCAGGGATAACTCCAACATTCCAGTGACACTGAGGAATTGGAAGTGTCCTAAAGGCACCTCCACTCAGACCTCCATTTTAAGCCTTCTACCACCCGTGAATTTTGCTCTTCTTTTGCCAGGAACACTCCACCCCTGCTTCTTTAGGCATCTCCACCTGGGAGATAAAACAGACTTGGAAAAAGTTTGGAATGCTGCTTCCAAGTCAGGTTCCCTTCTAGGAAATTACTCCAGCTGGGAGGTAAATGGATTTCTCAGGAGTTCTCTCATTATCTTCCATTTGTTGCGACATAAGAGGAAAAACCCCCTGGGATCTGACTCGGATACAACCACTCCAGATATTCCACGAGGAGAACACTCCTTCGCTTTCTCTGTGAATCACTCAGAGCAGCTGAAACAGGGTGGCTTGAACAATATTTATGGGAATGTTCCAGCCTGTGAGTGAGTAATCCCTTATCCTGTAACTCCCATGGACTGAAATACCGGAGATCCAAGCTCAATATTGGAGCTGAACTCACCAGTCCCTGGGTCTCCCTGTGGCTGTGCTCAGATTGCTCCTGCCTGGACATTTTGAACACTGACCAGTTCCTGCCCAAATGACAAAAATCAGCATTTGCAGTCACATCCCATTTGTTGCCCCCTCCCGTTGTTATTTCTGTGATATTCATTATTGTTGCAGTGAGAGAAATAAACTGGAGGGGAAACTTGAGAGATAAAGGATAAAAAAATGGATTTTGTGGTGCATTTTTGGGGGGAACTCAATTTGATTTTTGTGGGGATGTAAGTCACCTGAAAAGGCTGAAATTTCAATGGGAGCAGGAGAGAAAACACCCGGAGAGCCCATTGGATCTGACAGAGCTGGGCAGGTACAGAGAGTGGCTTTGGGAGCTCCTGGAGTCAGTGAGGAGGGTGCAAGGACCAGCTCAGGATCAGAGCCCACCAAGGCTCATCCGGGGAGGGTCTGCAGGAGCCAGATCCCAGCTAACGGCATTCCCCAGGGAATCCTCCTCCAGGGAAACGGGGGTGCCTTCCAGACCCTGACATCTCTGCACAGTTAAGGAAAACTGACAGCTTTGCACAGCCGTGCCATCCCAAACCACGCTCCTTTCTGAAAACCAGAAAATAAGGAAAGCACCTGGGGAGCAACGGGAAGGAAAGCTGCTGGAACAGCTCTGATTTCCCAGGTGGGTTTTATAATCCATTTTATCCAGGCTGGGATTTTCCCTACCTGTCCACCGCCGATTCCCTCATTCTTACCCCAAAATGTCCACTCTCTCCCCAACATGTCCCCTTTGTCCCCTACAGAATCCCCCCGACAGTGACGCCCCGGGACCTGCGTGGGCGAGCGGAGCCTCCGGTGCCCCGAGCCCTCAGCTCCCGGTGCCGCCACCTTCCCGGGAATCCCTCCGGGACACCGATCCCTGCACCGGGACACCGAGACCCATCAGGGACACCGAGACTCAGCCGAGACACCGAGCCCCCCGTACTCCCCGCTCCGTGCCCGGGCAGCCCCGCTCGGTTCATCCCCGGGCAGTGCCGCTCCCCGTCCCATTCCCGCTCCCATTCCCGGTCCTGTTCCCATTCCCGCTCCCGTTCCCATTCCCGGTGCCGCTCCCATTCCCAGTCCCACTCCCATTCCCGGTGCCGCTCCCATTCCCAGTCCCGCTCCCACTCCCATTCCCAGTCCTGTTCCCATTCCCATTCCCGGTCCCACTCCCATTCTCGGTGCTGCTCCCATTCCCATTCCCGCTCCCATTCCCATTCCCGGTGCCGCTCCCATTCCCAGTCCCGCTCCCGCTCCCAATTCCCGGTGCTGTTCCCGTTCCCGGTGCCGCTCCCATTCCCGTTCCCATTCCCGGTCCCGTTCCCGCTCCCGCTCCCATTCCCGCTCCCGCTCCCAGGGCCGTTCCCATTCCCAGTGCCGCTCCCACTCCCCCATTCCCGTGCCATTCCCACTCCCAGTCTCCGCTCCCATTCCCATTCCGCTCCCATTCCCGCTCCCATTCCCTTCCCGCTCCCGTTCCCGAGCTGCAGTGCCGGGGGTTCCCAGCAGACGGCAGCCCTGAGCGCAAAGAGCCGCCGCGGGTTAATTAAAGAGCCCCCCCTGAAATCCCGGCCCAGATCCCGGATTTGGGGAGTCACAGCGAGGGGAGAGAGAACAAACATCTGAACACGCAGAGCTGTTCCCAGTTCCTTCCTACAGGTCACCTTCCCCTACATTTCCGAGCCCTTTATTGTTTTATTTACGTACACAAACCCTTTTATTTGTGTTTTCAATCCCTACAGATCCATAATCAGAGTTCCTCTCATAGTCCAAAATCCTGTCTATAATACAGCAGATATGTGGGTTTATTTTGAAATCAATTTATATATACATTAATATTATTTCCCAGTATATATAAAAATGAGGGACTTTACAGTTTGCAGTGTTTTACACACACACACACCATGTGAATTTTCAGGCGTTTTGGGCCTGTCACCTCCCTTTTTGGGGGGGGAACCCACATGACCACCCTCATCCTCCACTCACCTGCTCTGTGACACCATCAGCCCCCAGACTCCCCCACCCCCAGAGAAGGCACAAAACGAGTCCAGCTGCTCTGACCAGCAACTCAGTGCTTCAAGAAAGCCCTTGATACATGGACATCCCCCCAGAAAAAGCAGGAAAAATCAAGGGAGGGCAGGGCAGCCCCCCAAGGAGTTGGAGTCCCACCCCAGCTCCCATCCAGCTGCCCCACAGCCCAGGGAATGTCCCCAGGGATGGGGGGCTTTTGCCCGTCACACAGTTCAGAGGGACCTCTGGCAGCAGCACTGCCCAAGAGAGATGCATCTATGGTCTCCCCACCTCCATCACAGCTCTGACTTCAACCTCCTCCTTGCCAGAACTGTCCTGGAAAGAGGAACCAACCAGCAAAACCAGGGGAAGTGAGCCCGTCCACGTGGAAGGAGTCACGGCTTTCACATCACAAACTGCTTCAACTGTTTCTTCCCCAAAACGTGCAGCAGGTACCCCGTGCCGCTGAAACCAGAGCCCAGCCACTCACCAGCATCCCCAGGCAGAGCTGGGGCAGTGCCCCTGGCACCAGGTTCCTGTGGTTCAGCATTCCCGAGCAGGAGGTGGTTTCCCCAGCACTGCAGACTCTGGGGGAAGGACAGGAATGGGATAGAGGAGGCTGCAGAGAGCCCAGACACCTGTGCCATGGGCTGGGACCTCCAGAACCACTGGTGCCTGCCCCAGGGTCTTGTGCAGCCTCTTCCCCAAGAGAGAAGGGAGACAAGCATTGCACTGTCCCCCATACTGCACCACCTCTCCACTTCCTCTCCTTGCCTTTGCTGCCAAGGAAAGCCTTGGAGTCGGCAGCAAAGCCTGTGTGACCAGGGCCAGATCCCATGAGGGTTGGACCCCAAGGCTGTGGGGCTGGGGACAGGTCCCTTGCATTGGCACCAAGGAACCAGGGGCCACCCAGGGGCAGGGGGGAGTCACCCAAGCACTGGATGAGGGAGCTTTACACAGTGAAATTCCCTGGGCGCAGTGACAGATTTCTCCCTGTCCCACCCATGGCAGAGCAGCTTTCATGGGAAGGGAGCTTTTGCAACGAGCTCTGTGCACCTCAACCTCCGGCTCCCCACACCCTTGTCTCGGTTCCACTGTCATTTCTCACATGCCTCAGCTCTCACTTCTCCTTTCCCTTTCGTTTATCCCCCAGCCAGCCCCTTTCCCCAGCTCCCGCCTCCCCGCTCAGACTGGTGGAGGGTTCTGCACCAGTTCAGCCATGGGATGGGTGCTCTGGGGGGTCTTGCTCGCCTGGGTGCCCACGGCTTGGGTGAGAGGCGTTGAGCAGCCCCAGGAGCTCTCCCCCTCTTTGGGGTTTCTGGAGTGCAGGAAGGCCCTGAATCTCTCACGTCTGGAGGTGCTGCCAGGGGGGGGCTGGGATAACCTCAGAAATTTGGATATGGGCAGAGTCATCAACCTGGGCTACTCGCTGTGTAAGACCACAGAAGACGGATCTTATATCATCCCGGATGAGATCTTCACTATCCCTGTCAAGCAGAGCAACCTGGACATCCACTCTGAGATCATCGAGTCCTGGAAAGATTATCGGAGCCTCACCTCTGCCTCCATCAACCTGGAACTGTCCCTCTTCTCCTCCATCAACGGTAAGTTCTCCTACGACTTCTGCCGGACCAAGACCCACCACGTGAAGGACCACGCCGTGACCACCCGGGTGCAGGTCAGGAACCTGGTTTACACTGCCAAGGTCGACCCGGGGGCAGCCCTGGACCCGAGCTTCAAGAAGCTGCTGCTGACCATCGCCAGCCACCTGGAGAACAACCAGACACGCATGGCCGATTTCCTGGCCGAGGTGCTGGTGCTCGACTACGGCACCCATGCCGTCACCTCCGTGGACGCCGGAGCCAGCCTGGTGCAGGAGGATCAGGTCAAGGTGACCTTCCTGCAGGACAGCTGGGGCTCACGGAGCGCGGTCACCGCCTCGGCCGGCGCGGCCTTCCACAGCATCGTCAGCGCGGAAACCCAGGAGACCCTGGACGTCAGCTCTGGCTTCACCAAGCAGTACCTGCAGAACCGCACCCACTCCAGGGTGGAGAGCGTCGGCGGGACCCCCTTTTACCCGGGCATCACCCTCAAGACCTGGCAGGAGAGGATTCAAAACCAGCTGGTGGCTCTCGACCGCTCAGGGCTGCCCCTGTACTACTTCATCAAGCCCAGCGTGCTGCCAGAGCTGCCCACCCCGACAGTGAGGAGGCTGGCCCGGCGGGTGGAGATGGCCATCCGCCGCTACTACACCTTCAACACCTACCCGGGCTGCACCGACGCCTCCTCGCCCAACTTCAACTTCCATGCCAACACTGACGACGGCTCCTGCAAGGGCGCCGTGGTCAACTTCACCTTCGGAGGAGTCTTCCAGGAGTGCGTGGGGCTGGCCGGGCCCGACACCAGTGCCCTGTGCCAGGGGCTGGAGCAGAGGAACCCACTCACCGGGGCGTTCTCCTGCCCCGCCCCCTACACCCCGGTGCTGCTGGGCGTGCAGGAGCGGGAGGAGGGCCACAGCCACCTGGAGTGCCACAACAAGTGCGTCCTGGGCATCTTCTGCCACCGCAAGTGCCAGGACGTCTTCTGGCTCTCCCGGGTGCAGTTCAGCGCCTACTGGTGCGCCACCAATGGGACGGTGGCCCCGAGCTCGGGATACCTCTTTGGGGGGCTGTTCAGCACCCATGGCGCCAACCCCGTCACCGGTGCCCAGTCCTGTCCCTCGGGGTACTTCCCCCTGAAGCTCTTTGGCGAGCTCAGAGTGTGTGTGAGCCGGGATTACGAGGCGGGGGCCCAGCACGCTGTGCCCTTCGGGGGCTTCTTCAGCTGCCAGGCAGGGAACCCCTTGGCCGGGCAGCACCAGGGCACCGCCGAGGACCCCCACGCCAAGGTCTGTCCCCCGGGCTTCAGCCAGCACTTGGCGCTCATCAGCGACAGCTGCCAGGTGGAATTCTGCGTCCGGGCCGGGCTCTTCACGGGGGGCTCGCTGCCGCCGGCCCGCCTGCCCCCCTTCACCCG